TGTTTAATTAGTCAGTCGTCATAAATCGGAAATCGGAAAACAACAAATGGACAGAGAGAATGATTTATAATCCATGTCTCAGTCTATATGATATCTACAACGGAGGAATATATGATCCCTTATCTAATGGACAAGTCATTGACAAAGGTTAGAGTTCATTGACAAGGTCAGAGTTCGACAGCGGCTTTTAAGAGCTACGATTGCCAGCTGGTTCTTGAAGTCGTACGCAATAATAGTTTTAGACTTATCCAAGTGGGAGATTGTTGGATTAGTGTCTATGTCCATAACTATAATTGGTATGTACTTGACCCGACTCGGCATGGTCCATTTGGGTTGCATGGCATCGGAACATTTGGATATACCGTTTGTGAGGAGAAGACATTTGTGACATATTAATATATTATAAGTTCTAATATATTAATATGAAATCGTGTTATTTAATTAGTATTGATCAAGAATTAATTTGGACTTAATTTAGTGATCAAAAAGAGACTAATTAAATATATGGGGATTGATTGTGTAAATCATTCATTCTTATATATGTGGGCTTATGATCCATGATTCCTTATGTTGGGTTTAACCCATGTGGTGATCCATGGATACTCCATTGAGGTTAAAACCCATGGAGCATAAGGAATGGGTAAAGTCATGGGTTACATGGTGTAACCCTAATGTGCACACTATATAAGGACCCCTTTAGCTCAAGAAATTGGCACTAGTGATACATATATGAGGGCTAGCCGATTTGAGCATGAGTGTCTTCTTCTCATGGTTATTCCATGTGTTGGTGATGTTGTGTGAACCATTTGAGGTGTCACACTTGGGGCACTAGGCTCTCGAGCTTCATGGAGTCAAGCTACATCAACAAGGTATGTATTTCTATCTAGTTTATTACCCAAGTATCAATGTTTTGTATGCTAGTTAGGGTAATACCTTGGAATATTCATATTTGCATGTATAATAGAGAAAACATAGATCCAAGGTATTTAGGGTTGCATGTACACTTAGGAGTGTTAGAATGGTCAAAACCCAACATATACTCGAACCTGACCACCAAAATTCATGATTCTCAGCTGGAAGCACTCAAACCCAAGAATATCGTGGAGGAAAAACTGTGAGGTATGGACAAAAAGTTCGACCTCAAGGAAGACAGAGCACGATATTTCATGAACAGAATTTGGACCCCAAAGTTTGGTGAAGTCAGAAGTCTAGTCTTAAATAAAGCTCATAAATCGAGATATTCGATACAACCTGGATCAGATAATATGTATCTAGATCTTAAGAAAACTTTATTGGTGACCCAACATGAAGACATAGATTGCCACCTATAACAGTAAGTTCTTGCCTTGCTCCAAAGTCAAAGCAGAGTACCAAAATCCATAAGGACTACTACAACAACCATTAAACCCGGAATTGAGGATAGATAACCATGTACTTCATAACGTAGTTGCCAAGAACTTCGAGCGGTTATGACACCATATGGGTAGTGGTCGATCGTTTGACCAAGTCTGCCCACTTCTTAGCCATCAAAGAAACTGACAAGATGGAAAAAAAACCCACCAGGACCTATCTCAAGGAGATAGTCAGGCTACATGGTATACCAATATATAATATCAGATTGAGATAACGGATTTACTTCCAGATTTTGGGAAATCACTGTAAAGGTTCCTAGGAACTAAACTCGACATGAGTATTGCATATCATCCTCAAACGGATGGAAAAAGTGAAGGAACTGTACAGACTTTAGAAGATATTATCCATGTTTGGGAGATAGAATTAAGTGATTTATGGGATACTCACTCACCACTAGTTGAGTTTTCATATAACAACAGTTAACACGCTAGCATAAAGGCCGCTCCATTTGAGGCCTTGTACGGATGCATATGTCATTCTTCAATATGCTGATCAGAAGTTGGAGATACCCAACTAGCTAAAAAGCATGTTGTAGATGCTCTACTCAGTATCCCTAGGATTATTCATGAAACAACACAAAAGATCGCTCAGATAAAGGAAAAATTAATTGTCGCACGTAGTCGTTAGAAAAGCCATGTTGACTTAAGACGTAAATCCTTAGAATTCAAGATAAGAGACCGTGTCCTACTAAATGTTGCACTATGGGAAGGAGTCATTCGATTTGGAAAGTGAGGTAAACTAAACCCCCTTACATTGGACCTTTTTGAAATCCTAGCAAGGACTGGTCTCGTGAATTACAAACTTGATTTTCCTTAAGAACTCAGTAAAGTTCACAATACCTTCCACGTGTGTAATCTTAAGAAATCTCTCTAATAAGAAACTTGTCTTTCCTCTCGATGAGATCTAGGTCAACACTAAAATTCATTTCGTGAAGGAACCAGTGAAGATCATGGATCGAGAAATCAAAAGCCTCAAACAAATCCGAATAACTATAGTAAATGCTCGATGGAACTCTCATAGAGAGCCGAAGTTTACTTGCAAATGTGAGGATCAAATGAAACAAAAGTATCCACAATTTTTCAGCGGTGCTCCCTCCACTACTGGAATGAAATACTAGTAGAACAAAATGATAATGGAACAAAATATTAGAACATAATAATTTCAGGACAAAATTCTCTTAACGGGGATGTAATGTGACATCCTAGAATTTAGGTCAAAGACTATGAACAGTCAACTTCACAGTAAATCTATTTGTAATTTTATTCATCATGTTTTAGTGCATCTAATGTAAAATAAATGAGTTATTTCAACTATTAAAGGATATCAGGCAGTATCTTACTTCCAAATATGTAATCTGGCAAACAAATCAAACAGTTCAAACTGCAACCTTAAGAATACATCTAAAAAACTGAAAATTCGTATTAAACAGTTGTGAGCTGAACAAACACTCTAGTCTTCTAGTACACGTTTTCCTGTTTCCGAAAATGTAAAGATCATCCAAAACGGAGTTCGTATGCAAAAGATACGAACGTTTCAAGAATTCAAAACCAGTATAATACTGATTTTCTTAAAACTGTTTCTATCTGTTGAAGGACTTGCACACCTCAAATGGAAATTCCGAAAGCATTTTTGGACTCAGGCTATAGCCTAATATTTAATTTCATATTTGAAATATTTTTCGTAAAAATATTTATAAAAATTGAAAAATCAGACGTTTTCAAATTTATAAATCGCGAAATCTTAAACTATTTCGACAAGATTTCCATTATTGGTAATGTATTCCAGAATTATATATATATATATATATATATATATATATATATATATATAAATCCAAATCCGGTTGACGTGGATTTTAACGATGGAAATAGTCTAACACTAAAAAAAAATCGTGAAAAACTATATATATATATATATATATATATATATTATATATATATATATATATATATATATATATATATATATATATATATATATATATATATACTGGTACGAGATGTGTTTTATGGTCAAATGCAAAACCTATTTACTAGAGTTTTTATAAAATACACAATATGAGACAACAATGTAAACACAATTTATATAAGTTATATAATTAAAATTATATAACAACACTATATATATATATATATATATATATATATATATATATATATATATATTACATGTAACATTTCCAAATACCAATTAATTAATAGTATATATAACAAACTTGGACACTTATTATGTATAAATCTTCAATTCTTCATATATCTCATAAACATACGTTATATATGTGTCAATTTTTAATTTAACAACCAAGGTTTAACAAATTAATAAATTTTACATTTCTAACATATGAATTTTAATTTATATACATATTACACAAATTTATGTAACAAACTCATAACAAATGAAAATAGATTACATTTATCAAGAAAATGGTTTGTAAAAATCTTAAATATACATATGTATACAAGAGGAAAACATTAATAATACATACCAAATCAAACAAATACACACAAATACATACTCGATCTTTCCTAATAAATAAAGAACTTTTTTGTCATATGGCATGCTCTCATTCAATTTGACAAATGTCAATTTGTGATAAATTTGAATTAATGTTTTTTCCACATGTCATTTTATGGATTTTCCTATTTATTAAAATCCATATAATATTTTAATGTAATAATTGCAATAAATATAGTAATTAAATGGATATCAATTTCATTAATGAGCTTACCTTCTAATTTCAAAACTTTTAAATTAAAGTTTATTAGTTTTTTTTATTTATTTATTTAAATTATTTATTTAAAATTTAAAGATAAAAAACATTTCAATTTTATAATTCATTATTTTTCTTATTTTTTTATAAATTCAAAGTTCTTAATTATTTAGACCTACATATTTAATTTTTTTTTTTTTGACAAAATTGCAAGAATGGTCATTGTGGTATGTCAAAACTAGCAACTTTGGTCCAAAATGGGTTTAGCTCGCAAGGATGGTCCAATAGTTTCGTTTTGTTGCGAGTTTAGTCCAAAAATTGTATAACTTTTTTATAATGACGGATTTACCTTTGGTATTTTTTTTTCAATTTTTTTATAACAGAAATAAAAAAAAGAAAAAAAAAGAAAATCTCTATGTCTCTCTCTCTCTTCTTCTTATTCTTCTCTCTCTCTCTCTCTCTCTCTCTCTCTCTCCTTGACCTCCCTTTCATCTCCAACTCGTCTATCTCCCTCGTTTCTCACTTCTCCGGCGAAGAGAGACACCACAGTCGACTGTGGCAGCTCCTCCGCCTCCCCCTGTTGTGACACACCACCATCCAACATCCCGAATCCAAATCCACAATGGGTGTTCTTCGTTCTTGATTTTAGATCTGAAATAAAACCCAAATCCAAAAGTTGAAGGTAGATATGTTCTTGGTTCCAAATTTGAAACGAAGATGAAGAAGGGTAGATCTGAAACAAAATCCACACACAAAACCTTACCTGAAACGAAAACCCACCATCGATTCGAAGAGAAACGAAAACCCACCATTGATTTTGGATCTGAAATAAATCACTACACTTGTTGCCTCCTGTTTTTCTTTCCTGCCGGCAAGAATGAAGAGAAATGAAGCTGGTGGTCGGAGGGAGTGGCAGCATTTGGTGGTCGGAACTCACAACAGCAGCGGTGGCAACAAGTTCTTTAGGTGGGAAAGCGACGGGAGGAGCTGGGTTGCCTCCTTAGCGGTGCGGTATGACTGGAGAGAGGTAACGAGGGCGGTGAGGTCATATATAGTGGTGAGAGGTGGCGTTGAGCGACTGGGACGGGTGGAACAAGGCTGGCAGTCGACGAGTCTCCTTCTCTCGTCATCGTTGCAGATTCAAAGGGGGGAGGGGTGGATGGAGAAAGGTGGGAAAAGCAGTGGTGGTGCTGTGACAGGCGAAAAGGTGGTGGATGTTCACGGTGGTCACCACAGCAACACCACCGGTGTCAAAGCCACTGGTGCTCCATTCTTTGTTTGTGAAACAGGGACGAAAGGAAAAAAGGAGATGAATCAAGAGAGAGAGAGAGAGAGAGAGAGAGAGAGAGAGAGAGAGAGAGAAAGATTTTATTTTTGTTTTATTTTTAATTGTTTTTTAATTGTTGTAATAAAAGAAAAATAGAAAATAAATAATAAGGGGCAAATACGTCATTATAAAAAAGTTCATAGGAAATTGGACTAAACTCGCAACAAAATAAAACTATTGGACCATCCTTGCGAGCCAAACTCATTTTGGACCAAAGTTGCTCGTTTTGACATACCACAGGGACCATTCTTGCAATTTTGTCTTTTTTTTAATTAACCATCTCTGGTTAAATCAATGACAAAACTGCACAAATGGTCCCTGTGGTTAGCTAAAAATTGCCACTTTGGTCCAAAAAGATTTGGACTAGCACCAGAGTTCCAAACTTTTCATTTTGTTGTTTACTTTAGTCCATTTTAGTTTTAACTTTTTTATAATGGCGGTGGTGGTGACATTTAAAGAAGGCAGCAAAATGGCTGGCATCGGAGAAGTCCTCGCCGGTGTCGGAAAAACGAGGGTTTGAGTATGTTTAAAGTAGAGAGAGGGGTAGGGGTGAGGGGAGGGGGGGATAACACAGCACAATTTTTTTCTGTTTTTTTTTTTTTTGCTTATTGTAATAAAAATAAAAATTGAATATACTATGGGCAAACTCAGTCATTTCAGAAAAAGTCAAACAAAACGGACCAAACTTGCAACAAAATGAAAGTTTTGAACCACTGGTGCTAGTCCAAACATTTTTGGACCAAAGTGGCAATTTTCAGTTAAGGACCATTTGTGCAGTTTAGTCTAAATCAATACATCAATACACATAAAATACATACTTATTGAACTAATAGAATGTTTACAAGATTAACCATAAATACACCAAATTGACACCCAGTTGACAGCCAAAAATAAGAAGTTCCTTCTACATTTCAACTTTTAATTTATATGAAGTGTAAATCACACTACCACTTACATTTCAACTTTTAATTTATATGAAGTGTATATCACACTACCACTTGTTGTACAATTCATGAGGGTTGCTTCTAACTTTCACACAAACGAAATACTAAAATCACACCCAAAGGAAACATACTAAAATCACACCCAAAGGAAACGTATGTTTCCTTCTGAATCTGTCAAGTGAAAACATCAAACCAAACGCAATTGATCTTCATTTTATTTTTTTATTTTTTTTTTGTTCCTGTCAATCTCAAGCAACAAAACACCCCTTAGACCACACGGTATGGGTCCAAACGAGATGAAACGCCGGTGACGTGGCGCAACTCGACGGCGTCGTAATGGGCGAACACCCCCCCAACTCGTTGCTTCTCGTCGTTCACTTCTCATGGCCACGGAAACGAGATGAAACGACCAAAAATTGAGCGGTTGTAAACTTAGACCGTTTGAAAACGGTCAAATTCACAGCAATTAAAAAAAATACAAAAATAAAAATATTTATTTTCAAAAAGTTGGTGTTGCGTCTTGTTGCTCATTTCCCCACTTGGTGTTATAACACAATTTGCTTATGTCGGCTTACGTGGCAAGTGGCTGTTGCTGCCCTAACCCAATGCTCTTAGATTATTGTTCTAATCCATTTTTTTTTCTTTGACTTCTTCGATTTCTGTTTCCCAAAAGCATCTCATGGAGGTAATGTTTCCTCCCCCCATTAATTTCTATCCAAAAAAAAAGAAGAAGAAAAGAAAGAAAGAAAAAAAGAGGACTTGATACCGATCGAAGCAGCAGCCACACTGAGCTCTCACACCTCCCTTTCACACCCTCGCCACATTCACTATTGTCGACGGCAGCTCTCGCTGCCTCTTCCCTTTTCTTCGGACCGTTCGAACACCGGAGGTGCTCACCTCCTCACGACTTCAGCCATCGAGAATCGACAGCAGCTTGCTACTGCGTTCTTCTTCTTCCTTCGGTCTAGCCAAACCCCAGAGGTCCTCCCCTTTCCCTCTCTTCGGCCCCGTCGATCTTCGGAAACACTCCCTTCGCGAGCAATTGACCCAAAATCTTCGAATCAGCAGCCTACGACCTTCATTTTCCTTCGGTCCTCTTCCTTGTCTGCGATAACCGAGGAACCGGAAGCAGCGCCGTCGCATCGTGCTTCCTTCTCGCCATTTTTGTTCATCTACCTTCGTGTTCATTTTTCCCTCTCGTCGCCTTCATCCGTTCGTATTCTCTTTGCCTTGCCCGATCATTAAATGGAATCAGGAACGAAAAGCCCTAAATTAGTTTAAGTTTGGGCCATTAATAAAAAATGGTCCCTCCATGAGATTTCCTCATACAAAAGGCCCTAATTTCCATTCAACTTTGATGCATTTACAAAATAACCCCGTACTGCCATATTTATTTTAGAAATCAATCCCAATCCCCAACCTTCACCCATTTATTTAAAATAGTCCCTCCCATGAAGATTCTTAACAAAATCAATCCAACTCCCAAACTTAAATTTCATGTAAACCATTTAAGCCCCTCACTTGATTTATTTTTACCAAAACAGTCATATTCATTAAATTAAATTACCAAACAGCCCCTACAGTTTACGGAAGTTACAAAACAACCCATATAGTGTAAATTCGTTACAAAATGGTCCAGAAAGTATTTCAAAGTTCAAGAAACGTAAATTTGCAGTTTCACACGACAAGTTTCTCAAAAAAATCAAATTCGAACAAATGGAACTCACGTTTCAATGGTGAGTGCTTACAGCCCCTTTTTAATATTTTTAATTATATCGGGGGAGGGGGGGGGGGGGGAATACATGTGCATATATATTTTTTTATGCAAATATATTATCCTTTATATGAAAATAAAATAAATCTAGTTTATAAAATTGTTATTTAAAAATTTAACATATTGTTACAAATAACTAGTATAAACTTTTCGTATACATATTATGAAATTTTTATCGTAAAATAACTAGTCCACACAACAAATGTTACATGATACAAAAATATATAATTTTTATGTGACATTGTGTATTATAACAAGCACGTTATAAAACTTTGTAGTATTTTAAGGACACAACCTATTAATATTCATGTATACATAAATGTTTAAATACATAAAGTTTATACATGTACATATGTTCATTACTTCGAAACATACATCTTTATAAAAGCGAGTACATTACACTTTTACATATATATCAGGCATACTCGGATTTAATTAACTTTATACAATGATATTCATTATACCTAGTGACTTGATCACAATTAAGTTAGGGCTGAGAGCTTTTCACAAACCTTTTAGTTAAGGGCTTTTTAGTGAGATGTTATTCATTAGCGGAGTCAAAACACTTAGCATACCCACACTACTGTAACTGTTAATCTTTGGAGCGAGATACATATGTATAGATCTATACAGGGTTGACACCTCCACCTGCGGTTGCTAGCTACAACCTCGACCGATCATTCGAAGCGGGTGATAGGTGTCTACAATTGTTACTATAATGTCCAATGAAACGTTGTAGGGGCTACACTCAGTCACATATAGCTCGGTTATAGGACTCATTGAAAACATTAACTAGAATATATATATATATATATATATATATATATATATATATATATATATATATATATATATATATATATATATATAATATATATCACTACAACCATGGGCTTGGTTGCTTTCAAAACTATTTTAAGTATGGAATTACTTATGTAACAGTACAGTTTGGTTTTCAAGGATATTGAAAGATTATTTACAAACACGGTTTTGAGTACGGATTTACTTATACAAAGATACATTTTGGCTTTTAAAGACTTATTGCAAACACTGTTTCAACTATTGTTACTCATACAAAGATAATACTTTTTGGACTTTTTAAAAGTATTACTGCGGTTAGCAATAAACCTATAACTCTCACCAGCCTTGTGTTGACCCTCAAAACTACAGTGTATTCTCAGGAAATCACTAAACACACATTCAAGACGGATTGGATTACAGGTGACCTAGTTTACTTGTTGTTGTATTATATGCTTATCTATTAAGGCAACTCATGTATTATTATTATTTGTAAAAACCTTTCGTTCAAATATCAAGATGAAACACGAATGCTATATTGTTTATTTTTATACTTGTGTTATATATTCAGTTTACCTGTGATCCATGAACTTAGTCGCATAGCCCGATGTGTTTCGCCGCCTTGGGCGGGGGTGTGACATGCAACATGTAGGAACAAGTTTGTGTGTAACACTTGGATGTTGTTATGTTCCTTATTTTCCATTTATGTTTAAATTGTTGCAATAATGGTCCTTGGAGTAGTACGCGGGGCGTACCACATCGTACGCTTAGCATACTAAGGAGTTGTTGGTCGCGGATGCGAGGCCTTGTACGTTGGGCATACGAGGGTTACGCTTAGCGTACTCGGAGAATAAGAAACCTTAATTTTAGGGTGTTGTACCATATATAAAGACCTTAAGTCCCTAGGGCTGGCCTCTTTACTAGCCCCCATATCTTATAAACCCTAAAACCAACCTTAAGCCTCCATTGTTGGGTCTTTGAGCCTTTGAGAAGGAACTAGTGCTTATTTTGCTCATATTGAAGGATTTGAAGAAAGGTGAAGGTGCCTTGCTTGGTGGGAAGTTTAGAGATCCAGTATCATCACTCATTTGCAAGCTTCTAGAGGTATTAAGTTCAAACCTTGTCTTCTCCATGATTAGATCTCTTCATGTCTTAGTTTTTATGCTTTTGGTCCCTTTTTGGGTTGGTTTGTTGAGTTAGGACGTTTGAAGGGCTTATTCTTTTGGATCTGAGCTTATTAGGAGTTTCTTATACATAAAGGTGAAAACTTTATGGGGTTTTTGAGACCATGCATGAAATAAGTCCTCTATTAAGTCCTTTTGAGCTTTAAGAGCTTCATTTAGCCATGCATGAACGTAAAGTTAGCAACTTTATGTGATAATCCAGCTTAGGGAAGTCAGATCTACGTTTTGGAGCAATATCTTAATGGATTAAGGGTTAAAAATGGAAGATGGCTAAGTGGGGAAGTACGTTGGGCGTACAAGCCAGTATGCGCCACATATAAGCCCTAGAGCGTGTATGCTTAGCGTATTGTTGACTACGCCCCGCGTACTTAGTTAGTGGGCTTCGGACACTTTGGGCTTCGGTTTGGGCCATTCTTTTGGGTTTAGATGCTTAGGGATTTGTTGGGCCATCTGAATGCAAGTCTCTTGGACTAAGAATATTTTTGGGCCTTGGGGTAAGGCCCATATAAGGGTTTGGACCCAATTTGGAAAATTAGGCCATGAATTGGCCTTGGTGATTATTTTGGTAAATGGGCCTTTGGATTGTAGGTTTGGGCCTTAGTCTTGGACCAAACTAGGTAAGGAGTAAAATTATCTTTTTACCCTATTTATGGACTGTTGGTTATGGATTTGAAATCTAAATATTTATGGGATGTTATTTTGTACTGTTAGCTCGGGGATTTGTCGGACCAGTAGCCAGAGATCTTTCGGTGTGATTCAACAGTTCTAGGTGAGTCTCTCACTATACCAATGGGTCGAAGGCACCAATGCCGGCCCATTACTTGACATGT